ACAAAGGAATGATTATTTTCTCTTCTGACTGAAAAAATGAAACTGCAGTTGTCCATACACACACATTTTTTTTTTAATATATTCAAGACATTGAAATCAGTTAACAAAAATAAGGACTGAACATTAATTAGTGCCATTAAAATGGCAGGAGTAAATGTAAAATACAAAAAATAATTCTACTTAGACTTGAAGAATGAAGTGGCCTCCCTAAGAAGGGATAATTTGTCTACTTGGTCTCTGCTGGGGTAGATGTGTCATCTTGAGGGGTGACAGCCTCTGCTGGTACAGTTACAGGTCCTGTCACAGTAGCAGTGATCTCAGATTGAGCAGGGATGGCTTCTGAATTGGAACTGGCTCCTGTCTGATTGGGGGTGGTATCTGTCTGAGATGCTAGGGTTTCTTGGCTAGAACTGGAATCTGTTGGACTGGGTATGATGTCAGCTTGAGCAGGCATGACTTCTTCTTCTATTTCCAATTCTGTTTCTTGACTTTGAATTTCTTCACCTTCTTCCACCATAGCAGGTGGTAGTTGCAATAAAGTCTAATTAAAAAAAAAAAAAGCCAACAACAATATGAACTCAAATGAAAAAAACACCAGTTTATAAAGCTAAGCTCTCACATCAACATCATATTCTCAACAGATATTGTTTCCTCGAGAGTTCTCCAGAACACTACTGGCCATTTTATATTACAAATGCAATACCTCTGTTGACAATAGTGTAGGTTCTGCTAACGCCAAGGAATATGCTTACACATATGTCACATATGAATGATCAAAGTACAAATTAAATCTTCAGAGAGGAAAACAACATGAAAAGCTATTCGATTTTTAAGCAATGAGGTTTGCTGTAACACTTATGAGAAAATTAGTGGCTGATTAGGATTGATTGCTACACCAACTCAAGAAAGGGCCAACTTCAATCAAGGAGCCCTGTGAAGGGTAGAGAGGAGCAAAGCGTTAAGACAAGGCAGGAAGGGGGTGGCAGAGCACACGTAGCTTCTGTCTCACTCCATCAGAAAACTGGAGCAGCTCTATGTTTAGCTTCCCTTTAGCCCATGACAGTCTAGAGCTAAGGTGTGGCTTCTCTCCTCAGGGACTCTGTTCACCTTGTTGGAAACTGAAAAAATTTAAAAAGTACCATTAACAATAGCAGCAAAAAATATGAAATACTTAGCAAAATAGCTAACAAAATATGTGTAAGGTTTGCATGTGGAAAACTACAAAATACTGATAAGAAAATTCAAAGAAGGGCCGGCCCGGTGGCGCACTGCTACAGTGCGCCGCTTGGGAGTGCAGTGGCGCTCCCGCCGAGGGTTCGGATCCCACATACAGACTGGCCGCTCACTGGCTGAGCGAGGTGCGGGCGCAACACCGAGGGTTGCGATCCTGTTGCCAGTCACGAAAAAAAGACAAAAAGGAACGAGGGTTGCGATCCTGTTGCCAGTCACGAAAAAAGACAAAAAGGAAAAAAAAAAAAAGAAAATTCAAAGAAGAACTAAATAAATGGGGAAATATATCATATTCATGGAAGGGAAGACACAATACTGCCAAAATGTTAATCTCCCCAAATGGATCCTAAACAATCTTACTCCTGAAAACATCATATTTAAATCACAGCACGCAGTCAAAGGCCCCTGGGGGAAAGGGAAGCACCCAAAGCCCAACAGGGCCCAAGACCCGTGTGGCACCGGGGCCCAGTCTAAGGCCCAAAGGGAAAGGAAGTACACACAGTCCAGCAGACACTCAGGAGAGCTGAAATCCACGTGGCACCAGGGCCCAATCTAAGGCCCCGGGGAAAAGGAAAGCACCCACTGGCCCAGCAGCTGCCGAAGTAAGCTGAGACCTGCACAGCACCAGGGGCTCAGTCTATGGCCACAGAAAGCTGGAACAAGAGCCAAAGTGGTGTAATACAGACACTGCCATACCTTCTGTCACCACAAGGACAGTTTACCACCACAGTAGCAGCCAGGGCAACTCTATAGGCAACCTGACACTCATTAGATTACATTGATATAAAAGTCACCAGTAGAGCCTGCAAATAGAGAAGGAAATCTTTATCCTCATAGCCAACCCCAGAGTAATAGAAGAAGCAAGTCCTCTACCACATGACCAAACATCAATGAAAAAATACTAGAACTACAAACAAACAAGAAGATATGACACCACTGAAGGAAAACAGTAATGCTCAAGTTCCAGACCCCATAGAACAGGGAATCCTTGAAATATCTGAAAAGGAATTCTGAGCAAAGATCTTAAGAAAACTCCAAGAGATAAAAGAAGACTTAATAAGAGAACACCAGGAAACAAGGAAAAATATCCGGAATATGAAGGAGGAAATTTACAAAGAGATTAATACTTTAAAAAAGAGTGTAACGGAACTGCTAGAAATGAAAGATTCACTCAATGAAATAAAAAACACAACAGAGAGCTTGAGCAGCAGACTAGAGCAAGCAGAAGAAACAACTTCAGATCTTGAAGATGGTCTTTTGAAATAATCCAGGCAGACAAAAAAAAGGAAAAAAGAATTAAAAATAATGAGGAAAATCTAAGAGAGATAGCAGACAACGTCAAGCACTCTAACATCTGAATTGTGGGTATTCCTGAAGGGGAAGAGAAAGGAAAAGGTATTGAAAACTTATTCAAGGAAATAATGACAGAAAACTTCCAAGGTGTAGGGAGAGATGTAGACCTTCAGATCCAGGAAGCTCAGAGGTCCCCAAACAGATTCAATCCAAAAAGATCCTCTCCAAGACACATTATAGTCAAATTTGCAAAGCTCAAAGACAAAGAGAGAATTCTAAAAGCAGCAAGAGAAAAGCATCAAGTCACCTATAAGGAAACCCCCATCAGACTAATAGCAGACTTCTCAACTGAAATCCTACAGGCCAGAAGAAAGTGGAATAATATATTCAAAACACTAAAAGAAAAAAATTTCCAGCCAAGAATTCTTTACCCAGTAAGGCTCTCCTTCAGAAATGAGGGAGAAATAGAGTATTTCCCAGATGAACAAAAATTGTGGGAGTTCACTACCACATGACCAGCCCTGCAAGAAATTCTCAAGGGAGTCCTTCATCTGGAATCTGATTAATGATGATCACTATCACGGATACACAAGAAAGAGCAAAACCCACCATTAAAACAAAAATGCCAGTGAGAAAGAGAAAGAAGCTAAATCATGCCACCTTAAATTTCTAACTAACATTGAAGAAGAGAAAAGGGGATGTAATGATCAAAAGATATTTAAAATACCTTAAAAAAAGCAATTAAATGACAGGAATTAAACAATACCTGTCAATAACTACCCTAAATTTGAATGGATTAAACTTACCATTCAAAAGACAGAGATCGACTGATTGGATTAAAAAGCTAGACCCAAGTATATGCTGTTTTCAAGAGACCCACCTCATCTATAGAGATACACACAGACTAAAAGTGAAGGGATGGAAAAAGATATACCATGAAAACGGAAACCAAAAATGAGCAGGAGTAGCTATTCTTATATCAGATAAAATAGACTTTAAACTAAAAACCATAAAAAGAGACAAAGAAGGCCACTATATAATGATAAAAGGATCTATACAGCTAGAAGACATAACAATCATAAATATGTATACACCCAATACTAGAGCATCCAGATATATAAAGCAAACACTCTCAGACCTAAAGAAAGAAATAGGCGCTAATATATTTATACTGGGTGACCTGAACACCCCTCTCTCAGTATGGGACAGATCTTGCAGGCAACAAATCAAGAAAGAGACAAAGGATTTAATCTACACTGTAGACCAACTTAACTTGGCAGACAGATACAGAACATTTCACCCAGCTACTAAAGAATATACTTTCTTCTCACCAACACATGGAATGTTCTGCAGGATAGACCACATATTAGGTCACAAATCTAGTCTCAGCAAATTTAAAACAACTGAAATCATTCCAAGTATCTTTTCAGACCACAATGGACTAAAACTGGATATTAATAACAAGCAAAACCCTGGAAGCTATACAAATACACAGAAACTAAACAATAGGCTCCTGAATGACTTATGGTTCCAAGAAGAAATTAAACAGGAAATCAAAAAATTTCTTGAAACTAATGAAACTAAAGATAAATCACACCAAAACCTGTGGGATACTGCAAAAGCAGTACTAAGAGGCAATTTACTGCAATAAACACTTACATCAAAGGAATGAAAAGACTTCAAATAAGCAACCTAACAGTATGCCTCAAGGAACTTGAAAATCAAACAACAATCCAATCCTAAAGGTAGTAGATGGAAAGAAATAATTAAGATCAGAGCAGAACTAAATGAAATAGAGACCCAAAAAACAACAGAAAAGATCAATGAAACAAAATGTTGGGTTTTTGAGGAGGTAAATAAAATAGATAAACCATTAGCTAAGCTAACAAACAAACAAACCACAACCAAAAATAAATAAATAAATAAATAAAAAATAAGAGGGAAGACCCAAATAACAAAAGTCAGAAATGAAAAGGGAGATATTACAACTGATACCACAGAAATATGAAGAATCATTAGAGACTATTATAAACAACTGTATGACAACAATTATGAAAACCTGGAGGATATGCATACGTTTCTGGACACATCCAAACTACCCAGACGAAACCAAGAAGAGACAGAAAACCTGAACAGACTAATAACAAGCAATGAGATTGAAGCAATAATCAGCAATCTTCCAAAAAAGAAAAGCCCAGGTCCAGATGGCTTTACAGCTGAATTCTACCAAACCTTTAAAGAGGAATTAATATCAATTCTCCTCAAACTGTTCCAAAAATTGAAACAGAAGCCATTCTCCCAAACTCATTCAATGAGGCCAACATAACACTGATACCAAAACCTGATAAAGATACAACAAAGAAAGAAAATTACAGGCTGATATCCTTGATGAACATAGATGCAAAAATCCTCAACAAAATATTAGCAATCAGAATACAGCAACACATCAAAAAAATTATACACTATGATTAAGTGGGATTCATCCCGGGGATGCAAGGATGGTTCAACATACAAAAGTCAATAAATGTGATACATCACATCAGTAAAATCAAGGACAAAAACCATATGAGTATCTCAGTACACACTGAAAAAGCATTTGACAAAATTCAACATTCCTTCATGATACAGACTCTCAACAAATTAGGTTTAGAAGGAAAATATCTCAGCACAATAAAAGCCATCTACGACAAACTCACTGTCAGTATCATTCTGAATGGGGAAAAACTGAAGGCTTTTCCTTTAAGAACAGGAACATGACAAGGATGCCCACTCCACCACTTCTATTTAACACAGTACTGTAGGTACTAGCCAGAGCAATCAGGAAAGAGAAAGAAATAAAGGGCATCCAGATTGAAAAAGATGAAGTCAAACTGTCCCTATTTGCAGATGACATGATACTATATATAGGAAAACCTGAAGACTATATCAAAAAACTCCTAGAACTGGTTAATAATTTCAGTAATGTTGCAGTATACAAAATAAATGCAGCCAAATCAGTTGCATATATATTCTCCAATAATGAGCTAACAGAAAGAGAATTCAAGAAAGTAAGCCCATTTATGACAGTCATGAAAAAAATAAAATACCTAGGAATCCATTTAACCAAAGAGGTGAAAGATCTCTACAATGAGAACTACGAACGGCTACTGAAAGAAATTATAGAAGACACAAAAAAATGGAAAGACATTCCATGTTCTTGGAATAGAAGAATTAACATTGTGAAAATGTCTATACTACCCAGAGCAATCTACAGATTCAATGCAATCCCCATCAAAATGCCAATGGCATTCTTCAAAGAAATGGAGAAAACAATCTCAACATTCATATAGAACAAGAAAAGACCCTGAATAGCCAAAGCAATCCTGAGCAAAAAAAAAATGAAGTTGGAGGCATAACACTACCTGACTTCAAATTATACTACAAAGCTATGGTAACCAAAACAGCATGGTACTAGCATAGAAATAGACACTCAGACCAGTGGAGCAGAATAGAGAAGCCAGAAATCACCCCTCAGGCTTACAGCCATCTGATATTTGACAAAGGCAACAAAAACATACATTGGGGAAACGACTGCCTTTTCAATAAGCAGTGCTGGGAAAATTGGACATCCATATGCAGGAGAATGAAACTAGATATGCACCTCTCACCATATACTAAAATCAACTCAAAATGGATTCACGACTTAAGTATAAGACCTGAAACTGTAAAATTACTAAGGGAAAATATAGGTGAAACACTTCAGGAACTAGGTCTGGGTGCTGACTTTATGAACATGAGCCCCAAAGCACAAGCAACAAAAGAAAAAAAATAAACAAATGGGACTATATCAAACTCGAAAGCTTCTGCGCAGCAAAGGAAACAATCAAGAGAGTGAAATGACAACCTACAGAGCGGGAGAAAATTTTTGCCAATTATGCATCTAACAAGTGTTTAATATCCATAATATACAAGGAACTCAAGCAATTACACAGTAAAAAAACAAATAACCCAATTAAAAAATGGGCAGAGGAACTGAACAGACATTTTTCAAAGGAAGACATACAAATAGCTAAGAGGTACACGAAAAAATGCTCAATATCACTAGTCATCAGGGAAATGCAAATTAAAACTACATTGAGATATCACCTCATCCCGGTTAAACCGGCTATAATAAAAAAGATGGAGAATAACAAATGCTGGCGAGGATGTGGAAAGAAGCAAATGCTCCTACACTGCTAATGGAACTGTAAATTAGTACAACCACTATGGAAAACAGTATGGAGATTTCTCAAAAAACTACAGCTAGATCTTCCATATGATCCAGCAATCCTACTTCTGGGTATATACCCAGAGGAATGGAAATCATCATGTTGAAGGGATACCTGCACTCCCATGTTTACTGCAGCTCTGTTCACAATAGCCAAGATATGGAACCAACCTAAGAGGGACCTCCATTGACAACTGGATAAGGAAAATGTGGTATTTATCCACCATGGAACACTACTCTGCCATAAAAAAGAATGAAATCCTCCCATTTGCAACAACATGGATGAGCTTGGAGAAACTTATATTGAGTGAAATAAGCAAAGCACAGAGGGATAAATACTGCATGTACTCACTCATAAGTGGGAGCTGAAGAGAGAAAGAAGGAAGGAAAGAAATACCACAGTGGTGTGTTAGACTTGTAGAGGGAGAGAACATATCGAAGGATACGAAGCGGAGTGGGTAAAGGGGGATGGGGAGGGAGGGGATAATTGGGTGGGGTACATGGGGTATAATTACAAGTTTTGGTAATGGGCATTGTGCCAGTATAGATCTGGCCATCACATCTTGGGCACGAGGGGTGACAATTAGCTTTGTACCTCGTAAATATTAATAACCATTATGTATGTATGTATGAATGAATGAATGAATGTATGAATGAACGAACAAACAAACAAACAAATAAATAAAATCACAGCATGCTTTTTTGGAGTAGAAATTGACCCGCTGATTCTAAAATGTATACAGAAAAGCAAATGAACTAGAATACCTAAAACAATTTTGAAAAAGAACAATTTAACATTTACTATAAAGCTACGATAATCACGGTAGTATGGTAATGGCAAAATGATACATACACAGAACAGTGGGAACAGCATAGAGAGCCCAGAAATAGACTCTCACATGTATGGTCTCAATTGACCTTTTGACCACAATTCCATAGAGAAAAAACAGACCATTCAGGCAGTGGTGCTGAAACAATTGGATATCCACATGCAAATGAATGCAACTCAACCTCACCTGTACCGTATAAAAAAATTAATTCAAAATGAAGCACACCTCTAAATGTCAAACTTTATTTAACTTCTAGAAGAAAACCTTTGTAACTCTGGTTTAGGCTAAATATTTTTTGGACATAAAAATCATGAATTATAAAAAAAAATCCACACACTGAACTTCATCAAGATTTAAAATTTCTGTTCTTTGAAAGACACAAAAAATGAAAAAAAAGTCACAGACTAGAAGAAAATATTTGTAAAATACATACTTGATAAAGGACTTGTACTCAGAATAAATAAAAACTCTCAAAATTCAATAATAATAAAACATACAACCCAATAAAAAATGGGCAAGAGACCTGAGCAAATACATCCCCAAAGAAGTTATACAGATGGCAAATAACCATATTAAAAGACACTCAACATTGTTATTAGGGAAATGAAAATTAAAAAACCACATTGAGATCAGTACATACTTACTAGAACTGTTAAAATAAAAAAACCTACCATATCTAGTGTGGGTGAGGATATACAGCAAACTGGTGAGAGTATGCATTGGTACAACCACTTTGAAAAACAGGTTGGCAGTTTCTTAAAAAGTTAAACACATACACATACTTAACATATTATCCAGCCATTCCACTCCTAGGTATGCACCCAAGAGAAAGAGCATGGAATGCTCATAGCAGCTTTACTTGTAACAGCCCAAACTGGAAACAACCCAAATGCCCATCAACAAGTAAATGGGTAAACTGTGGTACATCCATACAATGGACTGCTACTCAGCAATAAAAAAGAAAGAACTACCAATACATGCCACAACATGGATGAATCTCAAAATAATTATGCTGAGTAATACTAGCCAGAAAAAAAAGAGGACATACTGTATGATTCCATTTACATAAATGTCTAGGAAATGGAGGCTCATTTATAGTGACAGCAGATCCAAAGGGGATGGGTGAAGGACAAGAAGGAGGGATTACAAATGGGCATGAGGAAACTTTAGGGGATAATGGATATGTTCATTATCTTGATTGTGGTGATGGCTTCACAGGTATATACTGTCAGGACATATCAAATTGTATAATTTAATTATGTAGACTTTATTATATGTACAATTATATCTATATAAAGATTTTTAAAAATATGAGTGTTACATAAATGATAACAACTTTAATTTACTTGGTTCATTCTGCAAAAGAGAAGAAGATTCTTTCTATAGTAGGGAAATAAGAGTCAATTTCAAAAAAACTCACCTGATGATAATGATGTGTAGTCTGTATCAGATGCATGTACATGTTGTATACAAAGTTTGCCATCTGGGGCATATTCTTTATTATCTGTACTTCGTGAGATGGTCTCTCTCCATTCTAAAAGAAGGCAAAAAGAAAAGTATCTAATGAAAAAACCCTAGAAGCTAACATTTCAATATCAGCCCATTTCTCGATCTTATGAATAAGCACTATTAGGGCTTGGAGGACCTAAGGATAGTAGAGGATGTAAGGATAGAAAGAGGACATAAGATGCAAGTGTGAGACTCCAATAAACACTTCACGAAGAGTTGTGATTTCATTTAAATTTGGAAAAGCTAGAGACTAGGAGAGCTAAGAGTCACTAGCGTTTAATACAATTTCAGGATGGTAAGTGAAATATAGGTTTTAGTTTATTAACTAATGTAGAAGAATTAATAAAAGACGAGTAATCATTTGAATATAGAGAAAAATCAATACGGTCTAAAGTAGCAGTTTCCAATATGGAGTATACCCCAAACACAGTTCAAAAATAATTCAAAAAGAAAATATTAAAACTTTTCTTCCTATATGTATCTTTCTAATAAAATAAGTCAACATTTACTATTACTTAATATATAGACTACTAGTCATGGGGGTAAATATTCAAATGTTCTTTTTTAAACTTTGTGGTGTCTATCAGAATCATGTGGGGCAGTCTGCCAAATTGCAGATGCCTGACCTCTAGCCCCAGAGATTTAGATTCAGTAGGTCTGGGGTAGTATGGAGTAGTTTTTTGACAATGATCTGAAAAACAATGCTCTATCAGTATAGGTAAAGTAGTAAAGCAAATGAAGAAAATATAAAATTTGCACTTCTTCCTAAACCACCCTAGAATAAAGATTAACAACTTTCTTTTTTTATAGTCATTAACAAATGTTTATAAGGTGTCACCCGGGCCGGCCCGTGACTCACTCGGGAGAGTGCGGTACTTATAACACCAAGGCCGCGGGTTCGGATCCCACATAGGGATGGCCGGTTTACTCACTGGGTGAGAGTGGTGCTGACAACACCAAGTCAAGGGTTAAGATCCCCTTACCAGTCATCTTTAAAAAAAAAAAAAAAAAAAAAAAAAAAATAAGGTGTCACCCTTTCTTACTGTACGAGCAATTCAGAAAACATAAAGGCAAAAATGCATACCAAGAAAAAGGATTCTACCTTAAAGTGACAAATTATTTAAAGTACACAAAGTTAGAAATATTAAGTATATTATACAGCATTTCTCAGAATTAAGAAGGATGGTACTAATGCACGTAAGCCGGTATTCTTTTGACTAACGGTCACTTCCTGCAATATTCACAACTTCTTTTTTTTTTTTTTTCGTGTCCAGCAACGGATTGCAACCCTCAGTGTCGCGCCCGTACCGGACTGGGGACTGGCAACGGGATCGCAGACCTCGGTGCTGCGCCCGCACCTCGCTCAGCCAGTGAGCGGGAACCGGTCTGTATGTGGGATCTGAACCCTCGCCAGGAGCGCCGCCGTGCTCCCAAGCGGCGCACTGTAGCAGTGCACCACTGGGCCGGCCCAATGTTCACAACTTCTATGTGCAGACTTTTACGCTAGTATGACTAGGACATGCTGGTGGGATCTGAACCCTCGCCAGGAGCGCCGCCGTGCTCCCAAGCGGCGCACTGTAGCAGTGCGCCACTGGGCCGGCCCAATGTTCACAACTTCTATGTGCAGACTTTTACGCTAGTATGACTAGGACATGCTACCTTCAAAACATGGAAGGATTTTGGGGTTTTTGTTTGCTTAATTTCCAGTGGATTTACTGGGAGCTGGCTTTCCTGAGATGCAGGCTCTCCCCAACCCCTGACACTGGTCTCTTGTGCAGAAGATGGGGAGATGCTCTCAACCCTTAGCACCTCTGGGGCTTGAATCCATGAGTGTTGTCTAAAGCACTGGTTTCCAAGCCTTCTGCTCAGTGGTACTGCCTGATCTGCACTCAGGTTTCTCCAGGTATGCCCCCGTAGCCCTTGCACAGGAAACACCAGGTGAGCCTGTTAAACATGGAGACACCAAGACTCCAGGCCTCTTGCTGGGAATCTGCCTGTTTAATAATCAGCCCATAAAAGATTCAGAAGCTCAGAGCTATAGGATTGTGTCTAGACTCCAGAGCCTGACACTCAGAGCTTTACATGACCCCACCCCATCACATCTTTCCACCCTTTTCCTTCTATTCCTCCACAGCAGCATTTTGTAAAATAGAAAAAAAAAAAATGCAGTTTAAAAAAAAGTATTTAATGCTATTATAAAATAAACACACAGACTTTAACCTCAGAATTTAATTTTTTAGAGGAATGGAGGTTAGCAGTATATTATGAACATTCCAAACAATTTTATTTAAAATCCAGTGGACCTCCAGGACATTTCATTAAATAAAAAAGGCATAGCCCAAAACTATATAGGATGCTAACCTTCATGTAAGAAAGAAAATAATATAAGAAAATCAAACAGGTATCTGCTCTTTTGTACAAAACGACTGTAAGGATAAACAGAAACTGAAGAGACTGGTTACCTATGGAGGGCAGGTGGTAGGAGAATGGGAGAAAGCAGGGAGAATAAGAGGGAGTAGCACTTCTCTGAGTCTATCTTTTTAAGTGCATGTGCTCTCTTCTCCCCCATTTCCCCAGAATATAAGCTTCTTAAGAACTGGACCACTTATTACTCTGTTATCAAGCAAATAGTTAAGTTCTCCTTATAAAGCTGAAGAGAGGCAGTATAGTACGACGACAAATAACATGGACTCTGGAGTGAGACTGCCTAGGTTTTCAAATCTTGGACCCTCCACCTAGACGATGGCCAAACTACTTAACTTCTCCGACCTTCACTTTCCCCATATGTAAAATGGAGTTAATAAGAAAATCTACTGAACAGTGCTGGTACTGAGATGAAATAATATACATGAAGAGCTAACTACTTGATACATGGCAAGTACTCAATAAATGTTATCTGATATTACTATTATTTTTATATAGAAAATATAATTCAGTTCCTTAGAGTAAGGAGAACTCTAAAAAACAGCAAGTGGATTACCTATATGATAATGTTCCTGCCTAATGTGGCCACCTATAAGAGAACCCCCATTTCTCACTCTGGAGAACGCTGCTCTATACAATGAAGAAAGAAGTCCTACCTTTCTAGAGGTTGGAAAAGGTTCTGTTGGAATTATATGCAAATGAAGTGGGCGGGCCGTGAGCTGGCTGAAAGCTGGAGTCAGTTCAAAGCAGTTTTGGAAGAGGGACACTCTGGCGAAGATATAAAGTCCAAGTCTGGCTCTAGACATGGCCACCACTAAGCGACGAACATCCCTTTAAGAAACAAAATAATTAACACACTTCAAGATTAATAACCTATTTATGCCGTTTTTTTTCTTTTCTTTTTCTACATTTTCCATTAAGTAGTCCTGTTAAGCTGTGGCAATAAAAAGTTAAGCTTCTTAAAAACCTTATAGAGTAAGCACAAAGCTAATCAATGTTATGTGACTAGTAAACTAAATAGCCTCTTGGTTTATTTGGGGGGGGGGATCACAAAATAACCAATAAACTGATTTAAAAAGTCTAAGGTATATTAGTATTATGGTACAGTTCAGTTGTCCGTCATCATTTTACTCTACCACCAGCACTGAGTCGATTTGAACCAGCCCTTCTTCCATTTCTGTGCCTACCAAAGTCCCAGGCTCCATCAAGGTCAAATTTTACTTCTTAGATAAATCTTACCACATTGTTTTATACTTATTTACAATAATAATTATAAGTACATATGGAAATGCTGTATGTTGACAAGATATAACATATAATATCATGTCTTTTTCATGTATTTATTCTAGTATCTAGGTTCAAAGCCTGGCCTACAATAGGCACTCAATGTTCACATAAACAGTAATAAAAAGGGTTAAATTGAAATACTCCAACCCACATTGTTTTATACTTATTTACAATAATAATTATAAGTACATATGGAAATGCTGTATGTTGACAAGATATAACATATAATATCATGTCTTTTTCATGTATTTATTCTAGTATCTAGGTTCAAAGCCTGGCCTACAATAGGCACTCAATGTTCACATAAACAGTAATAAAAAGGGTTAAATTGAAATACTCCAACTATATGAGGGTACTTCAAAAAGTTCATGGAAAGATTCATATTATCTTTTAATTCTATTTTTCCATGGACTTTCTGAAGTACCCTCGTACACGTACTTGGCTATCTAATGAATCATGTCAGTTTTCTTCAATCTATCTTTTAAAAATAATATGTTTTTTTTTTAAAAAAGGTTTGAATCAAATTTATAAACGAGAGCTCTATATTAAGTGCAATTTCACCTCACCGTTAGAAAGTGTTTTAGCAAGAAAAGATAGTTGGTTGTAAAAACAGAGGACTGTTTGTTTTCTTGAGATGCTTTTAAATTGCTATTTAAATTTTTGAGTACTCTACAAAAGAAGATATGATACAGTCTGGTACAATTACCTCTAACCCCTGAAGGAAAGTGTTAAAAGCATATTACAGAGATCTAATGCTACAGAGATTCTAGAATAACCAGACAGAGAACCAGAAATTGGGATGTTTATCTAACAGCTTTTCTTTGCCTCTGTGTAATACAAGATATTTCGGGAATACCTCTCATTCAGTCCCATTTTCCATGGTGTTTGATGGTCTTGTTAAGAATCTAGTTTCCCTCTTCAGGAAGTACTGTGTGACACCAGTAGGTAATATCAGTTTTGTTCTTGTGTTATACGTATGTGTTGGGGTGGGGAATGAGTGAGGACAGAGACTCCTTCCCCAAGACACACACAATTAAGAGATGTTCATTTAGGTAGAAGGGAAAACACACCCCTTTACAGGAGCTTTGAGGAATCTCTACATTTGTGATACATTGGATTCATGAAGGAAGTATTATCTTCTAGGTTACTGTAAGCCAAATTGTTTTTTATTTTCTCCACATTTTCTTAGAACTCCAAGGAGTCATGCTTTAGGTAGGGAGTTCCAACACTGGTAATTGGATACACAGTGCTAGAAATACTTAGCATGAGCTCTCACACAAACATTGTAAAGGAAATTATGGTTAAACCTTAATGTTGCCAGGGAAAAAAAAGGGATGGTGGTGCAAGGCAGTAACTTAAACTGTCATTTTCATGGTAATCACTGTATTATTATGTTCAGTTCTCCCTTTCATAGCCAGAAGGCTCTAGACAGAGCACAGATACAGTGCTGTTGCAGTGACCAATGCATCAGTCCCTCTGAGGAAATTTTTCTCACTAGTACAGTGAAGTGGCTTTTATTAAGTGTGATCTCCACTGTACACGAGGAGTGTTGAACTAAAATCTCCTGCAGATTCAAATGTAGGTATGTCCAAGGATATGTTTACTGTCTCCCCCACTGGACTCTAAACTCCACAAGGGCAGAGATCATGAATATTAGACTTACTACTATATATCAAGGACCTAGCACATCACCAAATAGATGGATCTATAAATATTTGTTAAATGAATGACCAAATACTATGAACACAATAAACTACTAGGCAAAAAAGCAAAGGGTTCTTTGAAGTCTCCAGAATATGGCTGGACAGAAAGAGCATCGTTAAAAAACAAAGCCAACACTCTGATAGAACCCCCATGAGGAAACAACACAGGAAAAGTTGCAGCCGTACTACTTTGCTCTGAACAGGTCACAAACATTTCTATTGGTACCTAAGCTGTCCAAATCAATTGGGGACAAGAACTACTTTGCTCTGAACAGGTCACAAACATTTCTATTGGTACCTAAGCTGTCCAAATCAATTGTCCCCAATGAATGCTAGAAAAGAGACTAGGAATGTCCTACTCTGGATTCTAAACAGCTCTACATTGCCCTAAAACAGGTCTCTGGAACTGAAGCTGATAGTCTGGTTCCTACCCAATCACCCAATTAGTCCACCCTGGCTGAAAAAAGGTTTGGGAAAAATATGGCAGGCCCAGTGACAACCACTGAGTCACCGCAGGAAGTGCCCTGGGCTCTCCTGATCTGGGGTGGTGGGGTGCTGAGGGCCTCTGCCATGCTCCCCCGACACCCACAACCAGCCCAGCAACGACCACCAATCCACTGCAGGAAGAGCCCTGGGCTCTCTCAAGCCTGGGCGGTGGGAGGTCGAGGGTCTCGGCCACACTCCCCTGACACCTGCAACCAGCCTAACAATGACCAAGACACTGCTGGAAGCCCCCGGTCTCCCCTGAAGGAATGAGGGGGGTGACACAAGCCTCAACCCTGCCCCTCCTCCTTCCTCCTTCTTCCACCCTATTTTCTTCCCCTGTTCCTTCTCCCCCTCCCCCCGAACTGCTCTGCAACATCATAGAATGTAAAAAAATAATATTAATAAATAAACAAACAAAAAAAAGAAATATGGCAGGCACTTGGAAAATAATCTAACAGTTCCTTAAAAAGCTAAATATAGTGTTACCATATGACCCAGCAGTTCCAATCCTAGGTCTATTCCCAAGAAAAAGGAAAACAAATGTTTACATAAAAACTTGTATATGAATGTTCATGGCAGCATATTCATAATTGTCACCAAGTGGAAACAATCCAATGTCTATCAATTGATGAATGGGTAAATAAAATGTGATATATTCACCCAATGAAATATTATTCAGCAATAAAAATAAACGAAATACTGAATGCTACAACATCAATGAACCTTCAACACACTATGATAAGTGAAAGAAGCCAGTTGCAAAAAAGCACATATTATATGCTTCCATTTATATTAAGTGTCCAGAATAAGCAAATCTACAGAGGCGGAAAGCAGAATAGTGGCTGCCAAGGGCTTGGGAAAGAGAGGAGGGTTTCTCACTGGGGTGATGAAAATGTTCTAAAACTGATTGTGGAGACAGCTGCATAACTCTGAATATAATAAAAACCATTCAACTGTACACTTAAAATAGGTAAATTGTATGGTATGTTAATTATATCAATAAAGCTGTTATTAAAAAATAAAATTTGGCAGGAAATAGTTTCCTTGGTCTCTTGAAACACAAATATTTTCCTTCTTATTATAAAAGTAGAAGGATATGAAAGATTAGCTTTCTACAAACCAAAACGTTTTACGGAGAGTTTGATAAAATTCTAGTTAAGCTACCCAAGCCAAGCAACTTGGGTAACTGGAATCATAACTAATAACTAAGCTGACATATCCCCTCTATACTCTACCACCACCACCACCACCATCACCACCACCCACGAAGGTGGACTTTCAAAAATAAAATTTGGTAAATACAAAGAAGATTAATTTGTTTGCATAAAGGCATTTTTGCTTAGAAAATTTTGGTACGCATGACAATACTGAAATCAGCTTTTTAAAAACCCTTCATTAATGAGGATTTTATCATCAGAATCTTTTTTGCTTACTTTTTAGGTTTCCAGAAAAATTAGGCAAAGAACAGCACAGAACTAAAGTAAATGGAATTTTAAAAAGGAGACAAGAGAGGAAGCACTATTCATATATTCATAGTGTAGGTTTTTGAGAGATTTTAATTAAGTAAACCATAACGATGACCCATTCAGACAGCAGTTATAAATCTCAATGAGGAAAAGGAGATGCTTTTTTAGAAGTCTCCAAGTATATGTTTGACACTTAACTAAGCAAAAAAAACCCTGTACTTTAGAATGTGATCATCTTGAAACAATTCCTTAAAACACTGTTTCTTTGTTTATGTTTACATAAAAGTTATCAGTCTAGTGGAATCTGATCACTGGTTTAAGCTCCAAATGTATCTAGACTTAATGACATTACGAGAGCTTGGAGAATTTTTTATACTCACCAAATAAAATAATAAAATGAACTCTCTATAATAGTTTTGCTAGTAAATCATGAGATGAAGGTTTATATAAAACTAAAGGGCTGCTTTGTAATAAGAAATTATTCCCATAAATCTCTAGCACATAAATACACCACAATAAATGATAAAAACAGATTGTTTGTTTTGACAATTCTTAATCCTAGGAGAACAAATGGCTCCTTTATCCTCCAGCACTGAAGCCTAAAGATTGCATGTGCGGAAAAATCAGAAACCCTATGCAATGAAAATTATGCTGAAGAGACTTCTGACCACTTTACCTCCTTAAATTTCTGATATTAAGTTTCTAACAGATATAGCATACATTTATTAAGGTTTTACAATAAAATGCTATCTCTAAATGTTACTGAAGAATAAAAAAGTAATAATTACTAAAATTACATATAAGAGTAAAAAAATTCATTAGCAATGGGAATGGTTAACTATACAATTTGATAATGTTTCATTCTAACACAAAGTGCCAAAAAAAGGTGCCATAACAATTAATTATAATTTAAACTTAAAAAAATTAGAACTACTTAGCCACAGAAGATCAAAATTGAGGTAGATAGTAAAATTCAATAATATTATGAAAGTTTTTTCCTACGTACCTCAGATGGCCCACTGCTCTGGTTCGTACCAGAGAAAGAAGAATGTAATCATTCTGTTGACCCTGAAATCTATCAACAGTTGTCACCTAGACAGATAAAATGGAAAATGACATATTTTCAAAAGCAGAATAAAAAGACTCTAGAGATTATTTAACTAATGTGTTAAAAACAAACATTTTACCCTTAAAATAATCTCAAAAGAAACATAATCATATGTAAGGAAATGCAAGACCAAGTTAATGAACATTTAAATAAACCGCGGTAACCAGATGAGGCTATGTCCTTATGTTACTCACACTTATACCACTTGTCTTTACCTTTGCCGGTCAGCCAAATGACTATTTTAGTCTTCCCCGACAAGACTGCCAAACTCTATGAAAACAAGGACTATGTCCAGCATATTAACTGGTATCCTGGTTTGATGCCAAGCAATATAACTTGGTCTGCTCATTTATTATTTATCACATCCCTAGTACTTGTCTACAGTGTTCCTCTGTCAAAGAAAAAAACAAATAATCTTCATAGTATTTTTTGTTCACTTTCAAAATCTATGTACAAATAGGGAAGTTCTGGCAGGTTTCAGTCACTCAGGTATTTACCTCTTTTTCATCAATTCAGCACAAAGTTTAAATGCTTCTTACACTTTTTAAACCATAGTTTATGGTCCCGCTACCTTTAGGAAGTTTTATAAAATACTTCTTTTATATCAACTTCATGGAGGTAAAGTTTATATACAATAAAATGCACTCATTTTAAGTGTACAATTTGATGAATTTTGACAATATATACTCCCATGTAACCACTGCCACAATAAAAATTTCTACCTCCTTAGGTAGGCCCCATTGTTAAATTTATAGCCCCAGCCTAAGGCAATCACTGATTTAATCTGTCACTATATATTACTTTTTGCCAGTTCTAGAATTTCATAAAAAATAGAATCAATAAAGTAGGTACTCTTTGTGTCTGGTTTCTTTCACTCAGCATAATGATTCTGAGATTTATCCATGTGTTATGTACTCTAGAAGTTCATAACCTTTTTACTGTCGAGTCGGCTTCACTGAACGAATATACCACAATTTGTTTATCTATTCCCTGTTCATGGACATTGGGTTGTTTCTGGCTACTTTGAGTAAAACTGCACTGAATATTCATGTACAGATATTTTTGTGGACATATGTTTTCATTGCTCTTGGATGAATGTCTAGGAGTGAAATTGCTGAGCTGCATAATAAGCGTATGTTTATAAGAAACTATTTTCCAAAGTTGCTATACCACTTCACCAGCAATGTTCTGGTTCCAGAGTTCCAGTTGCTTTGCATCCTTGCCAACATTTGGTATCCTGTCCATCTATAATTTTACTCATTCTATTGGGTGCGTAGTATTATCTCATTGCAGCTTTAAATTTCCCTTACAACTAATTATGGTAAGCATTTTTTGTGTATTACTGGCCATTTGTAAGTCTTCTTGTTGTGAAGTGTCTATTCAACTTATTTGCCCATTTTGCATTGGATTGTCTTATTTAATAACTTTCAAAGGAGTTCCTATTTTCTAGATATAAGTCCTTTGCTGTTATGTGTGCATGTCATATCTGAAAATTCTGTGCCATCCTGACCATGTGGAAAGCTTGTCTGGGATCACACTCTGAGAACGGCAGGGCAGAAGAATGAAATGAACCTTTGCCCTTGATAACATCACTGAGCCAACCTGCAATCCAACCTTGGAACCATCCTAATTCCATCCTCTTGTTATGAGAGATAGTAACTTCCTTTATTATTTGAGTTAAATTTTTGTTACTTATAAGTAAAAGACTCAGATACTGAAGTTCTATTTCTAAACTTTCTGTGTTTCAAAGTTACTAGTTTCTCATTTTCACTCTCTATAGTCCTTCTGGAGTATTCTGCAGTGTCTATTCCTCCCTGTATTCCTTTCAATTTTCTTTTCACTCCTATGATTCTATTTTCTTCCAGCTCACATTTCATCTCTTCCTGAGTTCTTGCATTTCTCTGCTCTGGAGGCTTTCCTCAAAGAAATGGTTACTTCAAGTATTTTCAAATTTATCGCAAAACATGTATATGAAATTTTCATCTGTTCCAGGCCAACATGCTTTGTGAAGCATGTATCTTTATGTTTTGATGCTCTTTTCCTCGTTTTTTCCTATATAAATTGAGCTTGTACTAGTTTCCTTTTTACTATTCATCACTGAATAAGTGAGTTTCTTAGATTAGCTATATGCAGGAGGTTAGGTTGGGGTGAGCAAACTGTTTTCTGAAGGTTGGAAGATTTTCAAAACAGAAGGCCCTCTTTTCCTCCTGTTGAGATAGTCTACTTTTTGCAAATACAGCTCACCTGTTGGCTTCTTTGAACCAATCTGGGGGGCCAGGAAGCCTTCTGCTCACCAATATTCCTGCATCCATTGTTGCATAACAGGGATATGGCTCTTATACTTCAGGGTAAGCCTCTCTTCTTCAGAAAGCGTGTTTTTGCTGGTACTTTCAAGACTGGTCCCCTAAATTCTCTCATTTTCTTCCTGATCTTAGTCACCTGATCTGTGTCATCTCACTCAAAATGGAGTTTGACCCCCTCCTCCTCCCACTTTCCTCTGATTTTTGAATGATTTCTAAGAAAAAAATGAAAGAGCTTTTACATAGCCATATTTACAACCAAAGTCCTAATTTTATCATTAGTAATATTATACTTATATTTTATTTTCTAATTTATTAAACCCTTTATTAACAGAATCAAGCATCCTCATTTTTATTTAATATTTCTTTCTCATGACATTAAAAATAAAAAAAAAATTTTTTTTAATCCTAAGGTCTGAATACACTTTATGATCTCCTTTTATACCTAAGACAACCCCCCCAAACACACAATAAAAAGCAGTTCAAATTATACCTTTCCAAAAAAAAAAAAAGCCAGTTCATATTTCTACTATAACAGTACATAAATTAAAATGTAATTTCATTATCCATTATTTTATCAACAAAAAGTTTTAGAAAGATTTATTTCTGACAAATATCAACAAAAATCTTCAATGTGATAGTTGTGACAGAAGTTCACAGCAAACCAGCAAAACTATCAGATAGGATTGTCAGAGAATTATTTATATCTTATGTTTAATTTTCTCACCTATCTTAAAAGGAGACACAAAATGGAACAATATAAATAACTCATAATAAATACAAACCTTTCCATTTTGACCAAATGATGAATAAGAGAACATATTACATTCATAAAATTACCTTATTTGGTCTTCCAATCAATGGATTGTTCCCACATCGTCTATTGATGATGTCACGAATAAGATGCTTTTGCCCATTATACGTTGTTAAAATACTGATCTTGTCAGCAGGATAACCAAGTAAACACATGTACATAAAAAGTGCTACCACATATTCTGCCTCTCCAAGATTCTGTAATGCAAACATAATCAGATTGTGCATTTATTTCCTTTTGTTTCAATTTTCTAGAGAAAATGACTTCTCTAGTACAATTTGTTCACTTAGCATACCACAGAAGTGAAGAGTTAATAACTTGGACAGATGAATACCTTTCATAAACTGAGGGATAACCTAATCCAGGTTAACACTAATAAACAAAAATCTTGACATCTGCAATACATTTGCAATAAATGGAACGATCATAAAATAAATGCCAACTTAAGGGCTTAATATTCTTGAATCCACAACAATCACCATATAGATGAATAACATTCTGTACAGTGTACTGCACAGAATATGAAAAAGAATATCAACATAAAGGAACTATCTAAGAAGCAGTACAAAATCCAGTCTAACAGCATATATATCTAGCAGTATTGGCATTGGCTCTCAATTTTTGCACAGTGCTCTTCCTTTTTCCTTGTGCTTCTTAATGTTTTTTGTGTGTTTGCTTTTGTTATTTTACTGATGGTTACCACCTCTACTAGACCAGTTTAGGTGGAAAGAGGATGTGGTCTCAAGACAGTCAGTCTAGCTTACTGTTGAGTTAGAGACTCTAAAGATTGGTGGGAAGGAGCTTAAAACTAAGGGCTTAACTGAACTTTAAAGTGAGAAATCATACACAAAGCTGTTTTGTTCAGTTTACTAGAGACTAAATTTAAAGTACTAGTTGAGAGAACAAAGTAAAATGAGAAAATAAACACAATGTAAAAAGTCAAGAAACAAAGATAAGAAGCTGGGTTTCACACAAAGGCAATAGGAAAATTTACTCAACCTTCAGAAATATCATTTATATTCTGGTTCCTGGTGACATCCATACAGCCTAAGTTACCTCTTTCATCTAAATTTTCCAGTTCTTTGGAAGACAGGAGGAAAAAGAAGCCACATGACTGTGTAAATCTTTTTATTTTCTATATCAGTAGCAAACTACATATATCTAAGCAACAGCTCTAACATAGATAAAAGAACAAGTTGGGAATTGTGGAAATGACAATAATTCAAGCTAGGGCTGAAATTCAGTTTTCAAGACTTGTATTTTTGTCAAAATTGATGCAACAAGTCCTCGAAAAATAGAACCCACTTCTTTACTCATGTGAAAAATGAACATTGCCCAATTTGGTACTTTGCCCAAAGGTCAGACATGAAGTATTAACAACATAAATTATATTTCAACAAACATTTTAGAACTCACTCCAAATAAGTCAAGTCCACTTCAAATTCACAACTTTTATTCATTTATTCATCTATCCTCTCCCTCTCAGAGACTAATTCTTCAAAAGTCATTTAAATGCTGAGTACTCTTATTTTGGGGGATAATGTTTTCAACTCTTCAGAAATATATTTAATAGTGGCAATCATCTGAAAATATATTTATTTCTTGAAATACTGAAAATTCATCCAGAGGTAGGCTTAATAAGAAAACAGATAACCAATGTGGATAATAATGCTTCAGATCAATACTATTGCACGGTTCAAGTAACTAAACTACCTCCAAAGAAATTCCAAAAACTACAATGTAATGACAACATCAGTAGAATACTAGTAGAATACTCAAATCACCTTCTAAGGTGGCTATTAGGAAACATATCCCTAATTTGAATTAGGTTCTAATATTTTTAAAGTTGTCACTTAAAGGTTACATCTGTTCTCAGGCTATAAGTATACAGAGTAACTTGGTTTAATATAACCAAATATTTGGAGGGAAAATAAGATCTTCATAAGTTATATCTACACATACACATCCACTTAAGCTGGTGATATTTGATCCTTTTTCATGTATAACTCAAGGTCTCCAATTTATATAAATAACAGTATAGATTAAATATTTTGCTGTAAAGAGAAGAAAAGAAAAATTTTAGATAATCCCAAACAGCTGGTGATATTTGATCCTTTTTCATGTATAACTCAAGGTCTCCAATTTATATAAATAACAATATAGATTAAATATTTTGCTGTAAAGAGAAGAAAAGAAAAATTTTAGATAATCCCAAATGCCACCACCCAAAGACTGTCATCCTTTGGTGTATATGCCATCTTTATATTATAGATTATCTGTACATTTCTATATGTATGTTTTGCTGTTCTTTTTAAAAAATAAGACACTGTAGATATACTTTGCAACTTGCTTTTTCTCATCTAAAATAGCATAAACATTTTTCCTATCAGGAAACAAATTTATAATGCTTACATTCTTAGTGGCTATTCAGCATTTCTTTTGTATGGAACAACTAGTAATAGGGATTAATAAGTAACTAATCCCTACTGTAGACAGATATTTTAGATTGTTTCTCATATCCAAAATAATTTGCAGTGATGAGGATTCTAGCATATGTCTTTGCAAACTCATCCAATTATTTTAGGATAAATTAGTAGAAGTGAGAACACTGCTTTTAATACATACTGATAATCTGTTCACCAAATTATTTTCCTACAAGCATTGCATGAGTAAAGAATTTCCCCAAACCTCCCCCAACACTGACTATTGTCAAAGAAATGAAAATATGATCCAGTACTCTATACTTGTTATAAATCTGTATCTTTTTTGTGAATTGCATATTCTTATCCTTAATGCATTTTTCTGTGAGAATTTTTAAAAAAGAATTTTTTCAAAAAGTGATTTATAAGATTTCTATATATATTTTGAATTCAATCCACTCTTTGTCAGTTGTTAAAAATGAATTTTCTCTCAAATCGGTCGGCATTTTTCCTTATGATTTCTGATTTGGTAACAAGCTTAGAAAGAACTTTCTTACCCCAATACTATATGTTCATCAATATTTTCTTCTAGTATTTCTAGTATGCTTAGTTTCTTTTCTTTAGTGTACGTATCTTTAATCCACCTGAAATTAGTTTTTTTGTGTGTTGTGTGTAAGGGGGGGCTCTGACTTCCTTTCTTCAATGACGAAAGTCAAATGAGTCATACAAGTCAAATGGTTCAGTGTCACTGATTTAGGTAGTACTTCAGCCAGGGAAATACAAAATAAACTTAAAAGCTTCATATTTTTTCTTACCTGATAAAAGTAAGGATTAGGTTCAGACTCTCCCACTCCCTGAAAATCTTCAACATTAATGAGCTGGAAGTCATACAGTAAGCCAGCATTTGCTGTACTAAACTCTGGCAAGAGCTGCACATGGGGTAAGTTTCCTAGATTCTTGTATCGCCAGTTGTAGAGGTTACACAAACTTTCCGAAGAGAAACCCCCCCAAAACAGAAAAGATTAGCAATATAAAATCTTTTAATATACATAAGGAGGTTTCTAACAAACAGTGCTTCCTTTTCATTTTCACATTACCCATTTTTGCTCACCTTTTTTTTTTTAGCAGTAATGCTTTTTTAAACAGCCTCCCTACTTCAAGTAACCAAGAGTCAGAAGACTGAAGGTATTATAAAAATGACAGCTCTATTTGTGTTCTTTGAGGTAAATGCTATTACTTACTACTGAAATTAAAAAATCAGGGAAGACTGTAAATTGAGGACAATTTGGGCGTAACTAGGAGACGGGGCCTGTACCCTTTATGCAGTAAGAATTAGTATATTCTCCTCTTGTTCACTTTTTGCTTTAGACTTCAAAATTATATAACTGTGTATCTTTTGGGGACATGAATAAAGGGGAAAGGATAGTGAAAAGAAGTCTTTAGATTATAAATCTAAAATTAATCTCAATGAACAAAATGAAGGGAATAATGTTTTTGGCCAATTCACACCTCATGCAGAAGGCAACAAAGGTGCTTTTGGATTTGCAGATGGCAAGCTCCTGGACAGCAGGGAATGCCAAAAATCTATATAAAAGATGTTACAAATACTTGGATCACGGAACTGATCCTTAGGTAGGAGTGATTTATTTTTGCCTCCTTTACCTTGCTCTGGCTCTTCCCTGAGCATCGAGGTCCACAGTAGGAACACCAACCCGGACAAAGCGAGTGAAGAGAGACTGTTCCATGTTTGAATACTTCTGAAAGGCCATGTTTTTAATGACTGGAGGTAACTGGTGGTGATCACCAATCATAATCCATCGTTTTAGTCGGCTAAACCCATCCTGAGGATTCTAGAAATGAAAAGTGAAGAAATGGCAAAACACTCTAATGTATTATCCTGTTAGCCTCCAATTTATTGCACGAGACTCACTCTTCTTTAAATGGCTTCATTAGCTTATAAGTTCTTGATCTTCACCAGCTCCACACAGAGAAGTCTGACAAATTTATAGAACGACTTATGAACCAACTACAGGTACCGCTGCTCTTGGCTGACAGTGGGCGAGGGATTGAGAAGGCAAGCATGGAATTTAAGAGGTCTGGAAGACTTAGGTCAGAATTAGGCAAAGAGTGTAAAGAAAGAAACAGATGCTCAAGACAAGAAATGGAAAAATGCAAATAAACACCTTTCACAATTATTCCGAGGACCAGTTCTGAACCTAATTAGGCAAAGAGTGTAAAGAAAGAAACAGATGCTCAAGACAAGAAATGGAAAAATGCAAAGTAAACACCTTTCACAATTATTCCGAGGACCAGTTCTGAACCCCCAAAGCAGTAAAAACTGTACCTTCTTTAACTTTCTATGCTACTACTTCAATTTCCTACTCTGTATGCCTCTTGTTCCTTGAAACATATCCTGATAAAAATACATTCCAAGTTCAGAATAGCTTGGCTTATAAAAACACGTTTTTTTTTTGCTTTTTGTCTTTTTTTGTGACTGGCAACGGATTGCAACCCTCAGTGTTGCGCCCGTACCGGACCGGGACCGGCAACGGGATCGCAACCCTCGGTGTTGCGCCCGCACCTCGCTCAGCCAGTGAGCAGCCGGTCTGTATGTGGGATCCGAACCCTTGGCGGGAGCGCCGCCGCGCTCCCAAGCGGCGCACTGTAGCAGTGCGCCACCGGGCCAGCCCTAAAAACACGTTTTTTTTTTGCTTTTTGTCTTTTTCCGTGTCCGGCAACGGATCGCAACCCTCAGTGTTGCCCCCGTACCGGACCGGGGACCGGCAACGGGATCGCAACCCTCGGCGTTGCTCCTGCGCCTCGCTCAGCCAGTTAGCGGGAACTGGTCTGTATGTGGGATCCGAACCCTCGGGCGGGAGCGCCGCCGCGCTTCCCAAACGGCGCACTATCCAGTGCGCCACTGGGCCGGCCCGCAATCTCTATTCTTAAATTATGAATTCCACATTTGTTTTTTAATCCTTCAATAGTAAAAAATATTGTACAGTAATAAACATTCTAAAATATCACCATTTAGCTAAAAAACTTAGGCACGAAATAAAGAAAAGCAATGTACTCAGTGAATATCAAAAACAATTCTAGAAACAACTCTAACAAAAGAAATAAAAAAAAAGCTCATCTTCCCTTCAAACTGTATAACAATGTAATTTTCTTGATTAAAATTACTGTTTTTTCAAAACTATTTTATAGAAATAAACTATAAATTCTTAAATAGTACTCTCAGAAGCAATACAAAATACGAAAAAGCCAGTGAATAGATTAAAGGAAGTTTACAGGCTTAAAATAGAATACCAAATGTAATAGAAGTCAAGGAGAATATAAACTGTGGCAATTAGCACCCCCAAACTGTGTAGCATTCTGATGCTGTCCTCCAGAATTCTTAAAACTCTATTTTCTTTGTCTCAGATCTTAATTACTTACTTGTAGAAGAAGAGGTATAAACGTTTCTATCTCCAGAATTTGAGCAGCCTCTTCCATTAAAATGTTGTCATACTGAGAAAGAGGAAAGCTTGTCAAAAAAATTCTTAAAAACCAAACAACTACCACCATTACCATAACAACCATCCAAAAAACCCTAAATAATTTCAGATAAAAATAGCAACATGCACGTTATTCAAACAGGAAGTTTCATGGTCTTATTTATAATCATGTCCCTGAATCTCCAATTCAAGTATTTAACTTCAGGAAAGCCCCCTAAATATACAACTCTACATTGAGGAGATCGCCTATACCATTTCTTTGATTGTGATCTCAATTTAGTTCTTTTCAACTTAGCTCTTTAAATTCTACATAAACAAGAATCAATTTATAATTATATATGAGGTCACTCCCATTAGTACTCTTACCTAGGTAGCATTTGAGGGTAATTTTTTCCTTACAAAACCTACCAATCCACAACAATCTACTTCTGTCTCATCCCGGGCATTCGATCCACCACCAAAACATGTCAATTTTACCTTCAAAACTCCCTCTTGAACCTGTTCACTTTTCTCAATTTCTACCAACAACAGTACTCTGTCCAAACCACCAGTATGACTACTGTCAGCAATCTCCTTACTAGTCACTCCCTTTCCTGTCTTGCCTCCCCTGAGCCATTAATACAACAGTAATAGGATCATGTCACCTCCTGGTTTCAAACCCTTCACTGGTATCCCATTATCTTAGGAAAAACAACAACAAAAATCCCTTAATATAGCCTAAAAGGGATGTATTAACTAGAGCCTATATTTGATCTGGCCCCTGACCTCCTTTCCTACTTTATCTGTCACCTTTGTCCTTATTCACTGAGCTTCAACCACAGTGACCTATTTCAGTTTCTCAGAAATGACAAAACTTTCCTGCTTCAGGCCCTCTGCACATGCTGTTTCTTCACTTTTAGTCTGCTTGGCTCTTTCTCATTCTTAGAAGTATCAGCTTAAATCCCACTTTATTCAGGCCTTCTCTGACTTCCCAGTCTAAAATTGATCTCACAGTATTCTGTTCCTTTACCACACAGAACATCCCAATTTGTAACTCTGTATATTTACTTGTTTAACATCTGTATCCTGTTTCTACCCCAGTTTGCAGTAATGTTAGGTAATGTGCATTTGTAAAAGAATGAAAAATCAAATCTTTCTCAAACATAAGAAAATTTCATTCTTTCTTTGATGATCTCTGCTCTTCTATTTATTTGCCCAATTCTCTCCTAGATCTATTCTCAGCACGTTTTATCTTTCCTTTCTACCTCTGATTACTACTTAGTATGGCATTCAAGTCCTTGTTTTATTGGTGTAATACCTTGTGAATCTCACTAAGTACAAATTAGAATTCCTTTGTTTTCTGTTTTTAAAGTTTTCTCCCCTTATTTTGTTTTCTAGGGAGGTGGAAGGAAGGGGGAGCAAATTTACTCTAAATTCTTGATAATATATCCTATGATTTCCATGCTATTAATTTTTACCAAAATATGCTTGTATCTATATTTGTCCATGATTGGTAGCTGACCTGGATTCCACTGGACATTATGAATGTTATGGAAGTTATGGTTCAATCCTGTACTCTTTGTTTAGCATGGATGGGTTTCTTCTCTAGCTCTATATGATGCCAAATTTCTTACAATGATTAGGTCATTCTGGTGGGAGTTGAGGAGAAGGAGGTCAAAGAGCCATATTTTCTAAGATGTCCATGTGGACTCTCTCAGGATAAAGACACTATATGCAAAACAGTGAAAGCAGCGCCAAAGAAGACAGCTTAAAGAAACTGCTTTTTGAAAAACAACTGAAAATCTAATACAATTTAACTCATAAAAATATATTTATAGATTTTGCTTTTTAAAAAGGAGATTTTAATTCCAAAGCAAAATCATCAGCACTTCCATATATTTATTAGCTATACCATTCATTCCTTCAAACTTACTAATTCCTACTAAGATGCTAAATGCTGGGCTTGGCACTTGACGCTCTATGCTAGAGGTCTTTCAGAGCATTCCTAAATTCTATAGTCACTGTTACCACAGCTCTATGGTCCTTGAGTGGAACACAAATGCTAGGATAAGGCCAGGGTGGTGTAAGAAGAAGAGCACAACAAACTTTGGATTCATGTTTTAATCCTCTCTCTACAATTGACTAGCTGTGACTTTAGGGTAATCATCTCTCTTGAGTTAAGTTATAATATGGAGATGATATCTCATAAAAATCTAGTTGTGAAGAATAGAAATAAATCGTTGTAAAAGGCCTAGTATATGTAGGACTTGGTACATTCCTACAAATAATGGCTATTACTATTGTTCTTGTGATTATTATTCTGAAATATTTCCTTCTACAATTTGTACAATTCAAAATGGGTTTAAGATGATCAACATCATATTTTCAATACCTGAAAACACATATGTAAATTAGAACTAATGTTTAACTTTGTGTTAGGAAAAAAATGGGCTTTAATAAAATAGAAATTCAAAAAAAAGGTAGACACATGAAAGCATAAAATGCTAATTATAACTACATCACTTCCCTTTGCTATTAAACTGATATAATTTAATATCAAATCCAAAGTCTATTTCATATGTCAGCCCCAAGAACAAAATATCTAGGTGAAAAATTCTCACTAATAATTTGCAAAAGGGTAAGTTCACACCACTAGGGTAAGTTCACACCAACTTTTAATAAATTATCATGTTTGTCCTACCTTGTAGCTGAGAAACCTTTCATCTAAGATAACAACAATTCTATCACCTTGAATTTACTTAGCACCTATCTTTCAGTGAGCTCATAATATCTTAAAATTGCCAGTTACTTTCATCAACAAATGAATTACTAACTTTGAATTCAAACCAGCACACAAACCCTATTTTAAATAATAACAGATAAGCCAGTTGCAGGGAAATTAAATGGTTTGTATTAAAATCAGTTTAGGTCAGTATCACTCGCAAAGTCACAAAGAGTCTGCAAATTCAAATTGACTGCTCAGTCGTTACATTCCACTTCAACTGAGTCACAAGCTAACAGGCTATCATGCCCTCCTCTATCTTTATCATATAATGAAGTCATATTAATATCTCATTTTACAGTTTGAATAAGAATATTCCATGTGTTTAGATGGAAGGCTTTTCATTTACTGAATGAACAAGTGATTGGGATGGGATGTATGCTTAATATGTGAATAACGCAAGCACATAGATGTCTAATAGGAAAAACTATTGTGAAATATTATTTTTATAGCTTTCAGTTTTGCTTGGAGATTTTTTTTTACAAGTGACATTTAGTAAAAAGAAAACCTTAACAAGCATAAGAATTTGGTTAGACAACCATATGGTTACAATGTTACTTAATGGATATAGTACTACATATAAATAGATTTAAAAAATTAGATTTAGAGTTTGCTAATCACAAAAACATGTAATGTTATCACCCATTTTTAAAAGAGACATTTTAAAGTAATTATAAATGAGATCTTCGATAAGAAGTGAGCTAAACTCTAAGAAAAATGGTCCGGGTAATTAAAAAAAAAAGTAAAGAAAAAAAAAAAAAAAAAAAACCCCAGCTGAATAGATGATGAATTAATTAA